TTTTTTTTTTTTTTTTTTTTTTTTTTTTGTAAATCTTGAAATCCTATGTTCCGAATGCACATACACCTGCTAAAATCAATTGTGAAAACATACATAACATTGTATTTCATCTCAATGTAAAATGCAACTGCAAAATTTTTTGCTAACTTCAGATGTTAATGTGCACAAGAATGCAAGCAGTAATTAAATCTGTTCCCGAACTTGCCCTACAAAAAATTATCATATTAAATAAGAAATCAAAGGAAAACCGATGAGGAACATTTGACAAGAGCAGCATATATGTATATAAAACAACCCTCCCATAATAGAATACAGAACCCACTTCTTGCCCACCACCCCAACAACCAATACCTAAAACTTCTTCCTCCCCTTCATCCCCAACGCCTTAATATTCGCCCTTGCCGCCGTCGCCTGCTTATGCACAATCCCCCTCTTCTCCCACGCCGAACTCTTTCCCTCAGCAACCGCAATAATCTCCTGCGCCACTCGCGTAGCCAACGCCGCATCCCTCCTCTTCTCCGAAGCGTCGAGAATCCACTTGATGGCCGTTCGACGGCGTTGGCGAAGCGCTAGCGGGAGCGGGATCGGGAGCGAGCGACCTCCACCGGCAGCGCCTGGTTGCTGCTTGATGCGTAGAAGGGGGGAGACGGAGTCGATGACTAGGGTCAGGTAGAGGATTGGGTTTAGGGGAAATTGCGAGGCGGGGGGACCTGGAAGGAGGGGGAAGGATGGGTTTGGGATTGGGGCGGGGGAGGAGCGGAGGTGGTGGAGGATTGCGTCCATTTGCTGTGGTGTGGGGGTTGTTAGTTTAGTGGTTTGCTAGATGTTGGTTTTGCCTGGGGAGGGGGAGAGGGGGAGGGTGGTGAAGGGTGGTTAAAAAAAAACGTTAGGTAGAGAATCTCACTTTCTGCGCAACGCTCAACTTTCCGTGCCTCATGAGCATTTTCGTAAACTGGTCTAGCAATGGATCGTAGCGATGCTTTAAGTGTTCAGACCTGGGCAATGTCTCAGGTACATCGAATTTAAGCCCTTCCCTCTTCACCTGCTCGAACTTTTCCTCAGTCGCAGGATTAATCATACTTCGCACAACTGCAATAGACGCATCGTTTTCAGCAGCGGATGGCATCTCTTGCATTTTTAATTGCCTCAGTCGTGCAGAGGTGGAGAAGGACCTAGAGCCGGATGGTGAGGAGGAAGAAGATGAAGAAGAGCCAGCCAGTTGATCCTGCAAAACCTTGGGAGCATTCTTCAACGCTTCCTTATCCCTCTTCAAAATCTACAAAAGAAACCGCAAAAACAATCAGTCAGTAAACGCAAACATAAAGCAAAATCCACACACACAATGAATAAAACAAGAACAAAAACCAAAATGGAGGGGGAATCAAACATACATCTCCCACCATACTCCCCTGTAACAACTCCGGCCCCCCAACCTCTCCACATTCCGTCCTCCGCTCCATAATCTTCGCCATCTCCGCAGCCTCCTCACTAACACTACCTAATTCACTCCCAGACTCTTGTCGCTCAACAACCTCCTCTCCTCTCCCCTTACCTTCACCCTTCCCCCCCTTCCCCTTCCCCTTGCCACCCGCACCCACACCCGCGTCACCCTTGGAAGACACGAGCCGCGAAGACGAAGCACGAGGCCGATACGCCAGCACGGCAAAACCGGGCCGACGAAGAAGGATGTCCCCCGCATTCCTCATGGTGATAGTTGAAAGGGCGCGAATGGCGTTTTCGCCCGCAGATGGTGACGATCTGGAGGCGGCGCATTGCTGGTGAGATTGGCGGAGGAGGGAGGAGAAGCGGGGGATGGTGAGACGGGGTGGCATTTTTGCGGTGGTTGTACTGTATATATTTTCAACTCTTTCCCCTCACAGCGACGCGTTTTCTTCTACTTGGTGTAGGTATTGTTGGTTGACCGTCTTTCGAGGATAGATGAAATCTCAATTGATCCACGAATTTTGAAGTTCGAATTTCAAGATGTCATCAACTTTAAACTTTCTTCTTTTGTCTTCCGTCCCGAAAACAGAAATATGACCTTCTTCCCTAATTCATTTCTCTTTCCCTTCCGTTTCTTGCCTGTTCAAGCATTCACTGAGATCCGGCGGTCGTTCCGTCGATGAGTTGCCGTATCAATATCTCCTCGGAGAGAAAACCTCCAAAAGCATCCAGTCCCGTTCAAACAAGACGTCCAGATATCCCACAGGTCTAGAGAATAGCAAACACAATCCAATCGAGTCCTTCACCAAAGCAGGATGCGTCGGGTTCGGCGTCTGGAAATATTGGAGCTCGGAATTTGGCAATGTTGACCGGAGCCGGATTGGGAATAGATGCCAAGAATATACACGTGATGTTCCAGGCAGCTACTGCAGCGAGTTTAACAGGGTTAAGGGTGAGAGTATGAGCTAGCTGTATGTACATGCATTGGGGTATTCACGTTTGATGATGTGTGGTCTATATATATGGTAGGAATATATTATTATCCAATTTGATCCATGCCAGAGTGAAATCATTTCTGCAATTTTTTCCTTTTATCATAAAGAAGGAAAAAAAAAAAACCCCTCCCAAACCCACATCTCATCTCAAACCGGAAATGAAAAATTACAGATGAAATACAGGGCTAGAAAAGAAAACTAGAGATCGAATATAAACTAAAATAACATAAGAAAAAAGATAACAAGAAACGGGGATGTGGAGACATCTCTCACCAACGTATTGGAAGACTGACTATTTATGCAAATCTGTATGTACAGTTGTATAAAAAACGAAATAAGTCAATCGACGTAGGTTTTTTAAGGTGCATAACATGTACAACGCAAATTTAATGAAAATAAGTCAACGGATGGGGGGGATCGCGGGTCTGTTGCGGGTCAGATCAGGTCAGGTCAGGTCAGGTTAGGTTAGGTTAGCAGAGATGACCAGATCGACCCATGCGACCAAGTTCTGAAGGAGATGATATGAAAAGGGGTATCCATAAAAGCCAACATGAACTCTTAGGAAAGGAGGTGTAATGTAATCCAAGACCGTCCGCCCAGGGATATGAAGATAATATGACGTGTCCAGCCTTGCATTGTAATGGCGTGAACACTCAAGACCGGAAAAGCACAGAGAAGGGAAAGGTTGGAAATGAAGAGATGAGAAAAGAAGAGAGGATGAGGTCCAGACTGCCTAGACCTCATTGAAATCGTTTTTATTTTATTTCTCTTTTCTTCTTTCCCCCCTTTTCTTTCATAGTCGTGTATTGTGAGGACAAAACCAAAAAAAAAAAAAAAAAAAAAAAAAAGATAGGGGTTGGGCTGTATGAGCCATGAAGAGACATGAATATAATGAGGACGAGAAGGACCGGAGGGAGAATGGAGAGCAAAGCACACTGAAACAGGGGAAATAGCAAGTAGAAATTGATAAGAAAAAAAAAAGATGATGATTATTCATATCTATGAACCAATAAATCGAATATAATCAAATGGCGATTTATGCTGTGATAGTTGAGTTAGATCCCGTAGCCAGGCCAGCGATGCTGGAGAGGATGCTGGCGCCGATATCCTCCGCATCGTCCGGGTAGACGTAGAAGGCGAGTGAAATGATGACATACCTGATATATCGCAGGGCGTTGTGGTTAGCTTAGTTCCTAAATGAACATCGCAGAACAATGACAAGAAACCGAAAAAATAAA